ATCAGAATCAGTTTTCAGAAGCTGGTACCCCCCCAGCTTCTAAAAAAACTGATTCTGAGAGTAAATTAGAGCTCCAGAAGTGCTTCTGGAATTTCACCCAAACACTCCAGCTTCTGCTTCTGCTCCCTGAAGGAGCAGAATCAGTTTTGAGAATCAGATTCAAACACCCCCTTAATCTCATACGTGAGTAATGAAAATACTTTAAGAACCTATAATTTATTCAGATATACATTGATTTGCATCATATCCATGCCTATATACAATTATTGAAGAAATCTATCTAAAACGCCATAAATATTCACACGGATATATTAAGTGAACTGACAATGGCTTGTGTGCACAGCCTACGGACGGTTTACACGCTCATATGTATACTTTGACACGAAAACTAATACTCGGTAGTAGGGTTGTAAACAAATCAAATAATTTGTACTCGATTCGCGATTCGAATTCATATAAGACGATTCGAATTCGCAAAATTCAAATTCAAATACAAATAATAATATTAAATTTGATTCGAGTTGTTATCAAATACAAATAAGAATATCAGTGTATTCGATTTGAATATTAATCAAATATATTCGATTAATAGTAGTGGTAATATTAATATCAACATTAATAATAATAATAATAATAGTAGTAGTAGTAGTAGTAGTAATAATAATAACACTATAATAACTTTTCAAAGATAGCAATATTCTTAATGTGTAGCCCATATATACATTTTTGCATATAGATTTGAAGCCTATTTGTAATAAATCAGAATATAAATATGAATACAAATCAATTTTTTGGTTCAAATGTCTTTCAAATATAATACAAATAATTATGTATTTGATTTGAAGAATAAATTTAGAGTTGTTTGACTTTGATATATACAATTGTCAACTTATTTCACACATTATAAGTATAATTTCTAATATGTGTGTGTTAGGGTTTATTTCAAAAGATTTGAAATAAATTTATATTTATTAATCATAAAATTAATTCACTTTAGTATATTGTGCACCATCTAAAAGTACATTGATCCATTAAATTTAAATTCTAAGAACACATATTAAGTCATAGCATGCATTTACAACATAAACAATACGGAGTATAAGAAAAGTTATTTTAAAGTGATACTCCGTATTTGACTAATATTTAACCTATGCTCAAATCGATTCGATATTCGTATATAATTCGTTAACTATTCGTATTGTTAAACAAATACAAATACAAATCGAAATTAATATTCGTTTCATATTTGAATTCGAATTCGTATTCGAAAAAAATTAAACAAATACAAATACAAAATCTCACTATTCGACTCAATTCGGTTCGTATACAACCCTACTCGGTAGTATATGTGGCAAGACATCACTTGTTTATGAAATTGAATCTCTTTGACACGAAAACTAATCTGTTCAAACATTCGGTTGTTCATGTGTTTTTTTGTGGTATCATTGCCACATTAATAAATTAAACACTTACTAATTCTCATTCAATCATGATACCTATTCATTTAGATTTTTATGGAACATTTCGTTATTTTCAATGAGATATATTAGTCATTCCAAATTAAAAGAAACGATAGCATTAAATGTGTCGAAACTTGAGAATAACCTTGAATAATTTAGGATTCAATATTTGATACCAATTTTTTTCCTTTCAAAATAATCTCATCTCGCCAATCATAATCTCCAAAAAGAACCTTCACATGCATCAAGATGATCCCAAAATAATTCATGGATGTGGATGTCCATTGGTATGTACTGTATTACGAACTGTATCTCCAATGATGAGTCAAGTCACCATTGAATCTCCTAGCTGTGCCTTTATAACGTCTGTTTAACAAAGCCAGTGTCATGATTTAATAACATGTTTTTAAAGCTAGTTTGTTCTTAAATGTTAGGATGCATTAACATAGATATAGTTGTCGTCTTGGAATGTTAGAAGCTCAAAAAAGAGTTAGTAAAAGGTTCAAAAATTCATTTGATTGATGGCCTAAAAAGTTATATTAAAAGTTTGTAGCCTAATGAGCATATGATGCAAAATAAAACAGAACGAGAAAAAAGCTATCTACAAATGACTAATGGCTCATTATTTCCGTGATCAATCATGTTGGTTCAATGGTTTGTGATTAAGACCGATCGTTACTGCAAATATATTACGGAGTACTAGTATGTTTTCTAGAGCTTCACCCAGGAACTAGTTTTTTAGAACCCCCAGGAATTAGTTTTTTAGAACCCCGCAAGTCCGCAACTAGTTTAAATAACATTAAATTTCATAAATATATGAAATGGATGCAAATCATGTAAGAATGTTACTATCGTCCCAATAATTCCGGGATGTGGCACGATTGTTAAGAAAAATGAGTTTATATGATCAATATTGAATTGATAAAATAAGAACAAAGTAAAAATGATTGAGTCATACAAACTTTACCAAATTTGGTATGTGCCAATCTTAGGATGTTTTCTTTTGGATTATTTTCCATGCCAAACCATACCAGACCATGTCATGCAAGACTAGACTTAAACATACCAGAACAAACCAGAGCAGACTTAAACAGACAAATCAGACTTAAATAGACCAGATCAGACAAACCAGACCACGTAAGATCAAACTAGGACAGACCAGACAAACCAACACGTAAGCCCAAATATTTCGAATGGATTGATGTGTGTGGATGTGATATGCTAGCAAGTAAGATGAACTAAGAAAATGTATGCAATAGTGGACCGGTATTATTAGAACCTAATAACTTCCCGTTACAATACACTATGCTAAGGCCTGCGGTCATTCGTCTTATGCTCAAGTAGAAGAGCTGCGAGTAATAAGCTATGAGCTGAAAGTAAGCTATAATGCCAAGACAAGTAAGTTGTCAACTCTTTACAATGAAATAAATACTCCCTCCGTCCCTATTATATCTTCCAAATAGGTTTGGCACAGAGTTTAAGATAGTGAGTATTGTGTGGTGGAGAGTTGTGCAGAGGAGAGAGAAATGTGTAAGAATTGCTGTGAACCACAAATTCTGGCCAAAAAGGGAAAGTGGAAGTTTTAATTGGGACGGACGAAAAAGGAAAGTTGGAAGTTTATTTAGGGACGGAGGGAGTACTACTATTTATACTACCAATGGACAGTTGAATATGCTGACGTGGAGAGTTGTGGATGACTGAAGCCTCAACCACCAAATCTCCAGCATTAAATGCGCTTCCCGCCAAGATCTTGGTTTCCCGTCTATTTGTGGAGACGAGCATCCCCTTGAGACGGGCCTGCTTTTGATAATGCTGCAAAGGGTTGTGGGCCGTGCGTTGTCCGGCCCTTAATAGAATATGTTGGTTGACCCCTGGGCCGGATCCCCTCAGAACCGTGGGCTGAGTGGTGGTGACGTGGAGACGTTGGTGTTCGCCTGCCAACTCCCGGAAACATAGACGTTCGTCCGGGGGAAGGTTAATGGGCCGACCCTCTGTTTGGGCCATTAACCCAACAAACAATTTTGAGAACGGATATTATAGTAGTACTGTCTCCCAAATCACTATAAATTCACATTGTAATGCAATCAAATTTATGCTTTCTAGACAAAGAATCACTTCATCCAAAGGATCCAATTCTTACTACAAAGGGTCATTGATATTTGTTACTGAAGATGTGATCTTCTTTCAAAAAACTACCCAAAAAAATACGACGGAATTAAGTCTCACTTTTCTTTTCAATATGTGCCAATAAGGCCTGGACTCGGGCCGGGTAGGCTCGACCCGCATGTGTTCTGGTCCGAGCTCGGTCCCCCCAAATCATGAACCGGCCCGGCGGTTCGGGCCCGGTTCCGAGCCTTTTTTAAATTTTTTTTTCAATTTTTTTTACTTTTGAGGTTGGGCTGGGTATTTTGGCCATTTGGGGAATTGGGGGTGAGGGGGGAGTTGGGGGTTAACTAGGGAAAGAAAAAAAATTAACAAAGGCCCAAGGCCCGGCCCGGCCCAAACCGGAACCGGGGATTGCCCGGGCCAGTTCCAGGCCCTCCATTCCAAAACCGCCGGGCCCGAACCGGCCCGAGTCCAGGCCTATGTGCCAAAATTAAATTTTCACTTCTCTTTAGTCAGATATTTGAATGATAAAATACTCTTTTATCCTTATGAAACATACTCCCGTATATCATTGATTTTTAGTAGTATTTTTTTCTTTCATATGCAAGGAATGATGATGTGGAAAGTCTACCAGAACATACTTCTCCATCTCTTTAAATTTAACCAAATTTAACTCTAGGCCTGGACTCGGGCCGGGCGGCCCGACCCGGAACCGGCCCGGCCCGGCCACGGTAGCAACCGGCCCGGTGGCCCGGTCCACCGGCGGTTCGGGTCGAACCGGCCCGGTGGTTCCCGGTTCCGGGCCCGGGCCTACCATATGGTGAACCGGCCCGGCCGGTTCGGGCCCGGTCCGGGCCGGATTTTAATTTTTTTTTTTTTTTTGAAAAATTTTTTAAGTCTTGGGTTGGAATAGGTATTTTGGGCCATTTGAGGTGGTTTGGGGTTGAGGGGGAGGGGTAGGGGATTAAATAGGAGAACCAAAAAAAAAAATTAATTGGACCGGTTTGGCCCGGCCCGGTTTGGCCCGGAACCGGAACCGGAACCGGCCACCGGCGGTTCGGGCTCGGGCCTCCCCTTTCCTGGACCGAGGCCCGGCCGGGCCCAGGCCCGAACCGGGCCCGAACCGGCCCGAGTCCAGCACTATTTAACTCTATGTCCAACTTTAACCAATTATATATTACTATGTAATATATAATTGAAAATGGTATCAAAATATTCTTTATAAAAAATACTCTCATAAAAGTCTAAAAATATTAAAATTCACAAAGATATACTGAGTATTAGTTAAAATAATTTGTCAAATTTATCATTTTTACTGGAAAAACAGATAGCTAAATGAAAGGGACGTGTAGTATTAATTTGTTTAAAAACTCGTACATTCAAATTAGAAACTTAATTGCGGAAGAGAAGTGTGTTATACGTAGTTCGTTGTACTATTTAACTAATATGAAGTAGAAAAGAACATTAAAATGTAACTAGGATTAAACTATAATGAAACTATACTCTTGATTAGGCCATTTAGGCACTATATTCTTGATTAGGAATGGACTGGCCCGGAACCCAGCTCGTGCCGCTACTATGTGGTGCCAGCCCGGCCCGACCCTGGCGACCAGGACCGGGGGGCAGAACTGGGGGCTTTGGGGCGGGCTACGGGATTGGTATTTGGTGGTCCGGCCCGGCCGGTCAGGGACTGGCCCGGGCCCAAATTGTTTTTTTTCGAATGGATTGGGTACTAAGGTGGTTGGGCTAGGTGGTTTGGGGGGTGGGGATAGGAGTAAATAAGAAAAACAAAATTAAAAAAAAAACTAGACCCGACCCGGCCCGGAACCAACCGAGCCTAGTACCGGACTACCGGGCCTTCAATTCCCAAACCCCGTCTCGCCCAAATCCCGGGCCGACCCGGACCCGGTCCACCCCTACTCTTGATTTGGAACATATATATGACTATATCTTTCTTACAAAAAATATGCACAAATAACACTACTAAATTAGGAATGCAGGAATTTACTTGATGCAAGAATAAAGTAGTAAACGTGAAAAATGCTTTGTTCACGGCCATCACGGGGACAATTACAATGCTAGTACCCTCTTAGAAGATATGCTGGCCTGGCTTCAAAGTATCACTTCAGCCAGCTGGGGATGGGCCGGATTGGAGTTTCCTCAATCTTTCCAATTAAATTTTTACGCGCGTGATAGAAACATGTACCGTACATGATGTACGAACTGAAACACTACAATCTTTTTTCTCTCCAACTTTCTTGAGTTGCACAGTTCAATCAAGTTTATCTGCACCACCATAGCATTTAAGGTATATATGATTTAAAACAAATAAATACAAGTAATACATTAAAAATTATTAAGTCAACAAGATGTGAAACAGAAAAAATTAGATATGCTCAACACATAATGCAGAGGAAGGTGAACCTCTACAATGCAGCAAAATTGTCCAGCATAAATAAATAAACCAATTGCATGTAAATAAACCAAATTTTCAGAGAAAGTTAATCAGAAGTTCTATTGTAAGTTCATCATTGACGATTTGACGCCTTAATCTCAAGTTTTCAACTATGTCGGGGTTGGTGACGTGTAATTCATTCTATCCGTTATTTGTCTAAAATTAATTAGCACCATAACTCCAGGAAAAACAGAGGCAACATTTTATGTCAAAATTTCCTTCATGGCACAACATTCTCACAAAGAAATAATGAGATGGAATTCAAAAGATTTATAATTATGTGGTGTTATTTGTACATTTACATTATGTATATAAAAAAATTACTAGCAAAATCCAACACCAACTTCATCAGTGGAAGTCCTAAACTGTATTACCTCGATGAGTGAACAAAAAATTAAGCATGTAAAACAAGGATCAACTTTTTTACCTAAATTAAAAGTTACAACCCGAAGGCTACCCTTTGAACATAATCAGGACGCCTTTTGCTGGGTGCCCGAAGTAAGCCTGCTATCTGCAGCTCAATTATGGCCCTGCAAAACCTTGCTCTATGCAATTTTAAGTGAAGGATGACAATTATAAATTAGGAACGTTTCCAAGTCCCAATTTCAACACAATGAAATTTACAGCTGAATGCTATCTTGTTAGATGTTGTATTACCTTAAACAGCTTTAAAATTGGGACCCCGTTGTAGAAATCTTAACACTCAAGGTTGTAATTATTTAACTGCCAATATTTTATCATGCTAAAATAAATTTAAGCACACCCGTCCCTTCTGATGTCCAGGTGACCCCCACCAACCAACCAAGACATACTAAAGCAAGAGAGGATACTGTATCGATGCTTCAGATTTGTTTTGAGGAATGCTTGAAACTTTTCTCTTTTTTGGTGAAGGAAGCTGCTTTGATCGTTGTTTCTGGCAAGAAACAGTGGCCTTAAAAGACTGAAACCAGTCGTGGAGGTTGATGAGATCGCCATGCTCTTGAGCCAGTGTATACCTATAACAGGAAAAAATTAAATCCTTAAAAGGATTGCCATTAATATCATTAGCACTAATTGTTTGGAAAGGCTAAAGCCTAATTTGGGATTGAAGTTGCGGTATCAATAATCTCCTTATTGGAAAAAAACTTATGAAAATTGCTTTTGTTTGGTGCAGTAGGAAAGTTTTTTTTAAGAGTTACAAGTTCTTGGCATTGAGGATGGAAGGGATGTGTAAGTGTTAAAAGGAATATTTTAGTCTTAAACTCAAGTCTTCATAAACTGGCTTTTGCAATAAGGTGTCGTTTGTGTTTTAAATCAGCACTTGGACAAATCATATAATTGTACAGAATTGCATAGATATAAATGAGCTTTTCCTACTGCAAACATTATCCCAGAAGGGGACTCAGTCAGGATGATACTATTGCAATTGACTGCTCGAGCAAGCAGTTCCATGAAGAATGGGACTATGATTCAAGCAACGGGAGAATATCTCACATGATTGAGGTATCATGCATGGATGGTGACAGTAAAATCCCAGCCTTGCTGCAGCAACTACACTTCAGTATTCTTTGGAATTCTAGAAGATCTCTTTGGATTCTTCTCCTTGGGTCTCCTGTCAAAGCCTGAAATCAACTTTGAATTAGACTCTATGTCATCCAAATAAAAAGGTGCATTCAGTTTCATATGGTTATGTCCTCTGGTTATTCAATGGGAACTTCACCAAAATCTTAGACAAATGAAAAAAAACATATACACATATAAGCTAGAGACACTGACACTAACAGACTTCTCACAATAACAAACAATTGTTCTAAAAGGCGCTAGGCACTAATCGGGCACCAGCCCAGCGCCTAGCGCCTAGCGCCTAGGCGGGCACCTAGTCAGGGCCTAGTCAGAGACAAAGAAATTGTATTTTTATCTATATTTTATATATATATGATAAGTAATATTGTATTTTTCTGTGTATAAAATACATATATGCATATACATTAACAAACATGAATCATAGAATTATCACATTTAATCATACGTAGTACGGAGTATATGATAACTAATCACTTAACTTCATATATAGTTTAGGTATATATAGAAACATATATAGTTTTATCTTAATTTAAAACTTCATTTCTTTATATCCATGGCTAAAGCTAAAGTACGTATATCGTTTAGAAAATTGAAATTAAAAAGTAAAGTAAGGTTTGGCGAATGTAGACGGCCTAGGCAGCTGATTAGGCGCTCTAGGCGGGCAACTAGGCGCCATAGGCGGCCGACTAATTCACCTAGACGGCAAACCAATTAGTCGGAGCGCCTAGACGAAAATCGGGGCGCCCGACCAATGCCTAGCGCCTAGGCGGGGACTAGTCGCACGCCTAGAACGATTTTTAGAACAGAGAGTAACAAACAACAACATCCAATCCTTAATCCCAAAATATTTTGGGGTCAGCTGACATGAATCGATCCATGATATCGGAGCCAAAAAGAGAAGAAAGATAAGAAGAATAAAAAGATAAAGTAAGATAAAATGTACTCCCTCCGTCCCGCTAAGATTGTCCCAGACACTATTTACTTGGTCAACACAAATCACTCTTAATCTCTTACTTTATATAATAATTGTTTTATCAAATTTGATTCTGGTTTTGCGGCTTTGTAAAGTTTTTAATGTAGTTTCTAAATATCTAAATTATTTTTTCTAAAATAATTTGAGTGCGGACAGGAATCTGTTTGCTTTATCGTCGGTCAAGTATCGTAAACCGAATTGTCCCAAACATAATGGGACAGAGGTAGTATAAGATAAAGATAAATGTAAAAAAAAACATAAGAACATAGGAAAGATAAAAGATAAAAAGACAAAAGAGCATAAGAAAAATAAAATATAAAAATAACATGAGAACATACAAAGATAAAGAAGATAAAACATAAAAGAAAAGGAATAAAGAGAAAAGAAAAGAGATTAATCGTCCACACCAATATGCGCTCTCCACACTAAAAGACTTCTCATGTTAGAAAAATACTGCCAGCCATAAAAATATATTACTCAACTACTTCTGCATTAACTTGAACAATCAACAAAGCAAACTTGTATAATGGTACTTAACTGATTGCAGCTTGTCAACATCTTTGAAGCACACAATTTCATGAAATGGTAGAGACTCAACTGGCTGCATGAATTTCCTATTTCAAAGGAAAAGAATAAAAAATAGGCATTTTAAACATATCGGCAAAGAATGTTCTTGAATAAAATATTCGAGTTATTATTGATTGCAATGGTCCTTTCAAAAGAGAGTTTCATTTACTAAATTCATTTAACACGTAAAACTGTAGAAGCAACAAGTACTAAATAGATTTTGTTAGAAGACTAAGAGATTGCACAGATTGCCAGATTCTATTGAATATATAGAACTAATAGAAGTAAACCAGCCCAGTAAAAGACCTAGACTTCTTACATTGTAATAAATATACAGCGCCCATACCTCATCATGTCACAAGCCAAATTTAGGGCTCTCTCATTCAATACACCCCCATCTTTTTCCATTTTCATTCTGCCCTGGGATATATATCTCCTGCCTCATAAATAACATAATAAAGGAAATAAATAACAGTAACAATAAACGTTTCTTCTTTATTGGAATTCAAAGCATGAGCAGTGGAATATTACTTCTTTGGCATTTCAAAATTATCAAACCAGTGGCCAATACATGCGTGTTTTCTTAAAAAAAAAAACTTGGCTTTCTCAAAATCATCAGAATATCTAAGTAATTCAATATTCTAACTAAGGTATGTTGTTCCCAGAGGCAGATTAGGTTCATTGTACGTTGAAAAGTAAAGTATCACGCTCAATTAAAGAATAAAGAAAATTTTATGTTACTTTTTCAGGAAGGATGTCAGGATGTGAATAAGATATACTTCGTATGAGACATCAAAAGTCATCAATGATATTTGAGCTATGCTTGGATGGCCATTTCAGTTCAAAATGATATGACATTTGATAGATCTAGACAATTAAATGACATGTAGCCTTGTTTGGATGAAGAGCTAATCTTGACTGGATCTAAAATTAATCAGCTGGTTTTTCAAACATAGCCTTAGCACATCAATTAAAAGTAGTAATAAATCCAATATAATTAAATCAATGGCTCTCTTCCATTATATTGAAGAATGGTGCTTCTGGAAGTTATATGGTTCCTCAAAAAAGTGAATACAACCGCATAGAAAAGTAGCACATCCAAATATCCAATCAATAATGTCACACTAAGAAAATGTACAAAAATCATACATACTTTGATAAATCTGTTGGTTCTCTCTTAGAATGCATCTTATCTGCATTTTGCACCAATGACTGCAATTCTTCAATTTTCATTTGAACCTGGAAAATGAAGTAAACCAAGAAAACCATATAATTTAGGAAACTTTATTGTCAACATGAATTTTGTCGTTGACTTGTTGTTGAGAACATGCTTCATTAGGAAAGGATTCCTACTGAGGAAAAATGAAAAGGGAGATGAGGGGTCCAGCTTTAAAGAGTCCAGCTTTAAAGAAGTAAGAGACTAAAAGCTTTTGGAAATTGACACCCAAAGTTGTTTAGATTTTTCTTTTTCTTTTTAAAAAAGGGTCAAATAGGCCCTCGAACTAACTTAAAAAGTGCAAATCACCCCTTATACAGGAGGCTCTATCCAGCCGCCGCCATTTGGGGCGGTTCCCGGTGGAATTTTTTGATGAATTGTTTTGAGAATCTTCTTCATTAAGTCTAGTTTACTCATACCAAATTTCAGCTAAAAATTCAATCGGGAAGGCAGTCAAATGAATTTTTGAAGATAACTGCGCAGTTAAACAGCGCCAGTACATTTCAGAAAATCATTTAACTGTCTTCTCGGTTGAATGTTTATCTGAAATTTGGTATGGGTAAACTAGACTTAATGAAGAAGATGATCAAAAAATTTCATCAAAGAATTCCAACGGGAACCACCCCAAATGGCGATGGCCGGACAGAACCTCCTATATAAGGGGTGATTTGCACTTTTTAAGTTAGTTCGAGGGCCTATTTGACCCTTTAGCCAATAATAATATAGGCTCATATTTAGTGTAACTCTATAAGCTAGCACTTATGTCATATTTTAGTGACACCTAATTAGCAAGCATGTAAAAAATAATAATTGAATAAATAAAGATGATATGATTATTACTTATTTACTCATATGTGATAGAAAAAGTAATCATGGTGTAGTTTGTCTACATGGATTCATTTAGAAAAGGTGGTGCAAATTTTTGCTAATTGATGATTCATAAAGAAATTTATATAATCATATGGAGAAGGGAAAGGTGAATTTATAGCAGTCTTTGCACAATGAAAACCTAGGTATTATGAACTTTTGGGATGGGAAACTCTTATAGAACTTAAGCGACATTGTCAAAAGTATTTTGCATTTTTTTATTAAAGAAAAAGTCATTGACATACCTCATTGTTGCCCTCAACAAGCTTTTCCCAAGTTTTAAGCAACTGGCCCAATTTTGCAGTAGGTAAAGCCCTGAGTAAAGTGGTTCACATTTTAACATATTTAGAATCTTGCAAAAAATAGGGTCATGCAAAACTACCCTTAATTTATATCCCTGCAACCAACATTAGATGTTACAATAATTGAGAACTCAGATGAAGAAAGTGTAAAAACTAGAAAGTCGGTAACGGTCTCTTGTTGTATAAAACAAAAGACATTCCGACATTTTGTAACTTTATTCTTAACCAAAACACATTCTGTTAATTTATTCTTAATCAAAACGACGTCTATTTTGAAAGGTCAAGTAATGATAATAAATTTTGCAGCAGTATTTTTATCAAGCCCTAGCTATCACAGAAATGAAGAGTTGAGATCTACAATTAGCACTCCAACTATTCATGTATAATATATACATTTTCTAAAAATATAATCAACTATCAGATGTATCATCATGGTCAAAAGAATTCATGGAATTTTGAAAAAACAGATTAGTCAATTATTATACTTCAACAAACTTATACTTGAAAATTAAGAAATTGCCCTAAATAGGAGTAAAAACGTTTGGGAAATCCAAAATACAAGTACTATGTTTTTATTCCCTAAATAAATAGGAATAATTACTGTCAAGTTTGGTAAATACCTCCACTTATGACAGTATACCTCCATTTATGGCAATATACTGTCATGTTTAAAGCTTTTTAATGTCAAAACATGCAGCAAGTTTTTAGGTTGACAGTAATGAAGTCCCTATTTAGGGGGATAGGGGGGATATAGTACTCCTATTTTGGAATCTTACATTGTTTTTACTCCTATTGCGAACTTTCCTTTGAAAATACTATCCAGCCTAGCTTAGGAAATTATGTAAACTCCCATCTTCCAAAAGAGTGAACATAACAGCATAGTTAGATAGTGGTTTATGTTCACTTCAAGCACCGCCATCATGGCAATGAAAAATTAAAAAGAGAAGAAAATGGACACGAAAATGACAGTGGAGAAGTAGCTTAGAACATAAAACACATTTTAAACAAGTACTCCTATAGTTATATGCAAAAAGGCGCTAAACAGCAACCACAGAGCGACAAATTCTAGATCAGAAAATGCATTTCAGGAAATCAAGTATCAAGCATTAACAAATACTACCTCCGTCCCAATAAGATTGGGACAAGAGGGTGTGGTGCGTTTTTTAAGAAAAGTGGAATTGTGTGTTGGTGTTGAATTGCTGAAGTGTGAATAAAGTAAGAATGAATGGTAGCCACCCAAGTATGGTACGGGACAAACGGAAAAGGTAAAACGGGACAGAGTTAGGGGGAGGGAGTAATAAGTATGCAACAGGATTCAACAAAAGCACGTAAAAAGATTTCACTGACACGTGCTTAATAGCTATAATAATTAACAAGTATTAATAATTAAGTAAAACGCTTTAATATTCTTCTCTAAATCAATTTCCTTATACTACCTCAGGTTAAGGATGACCTGATCAATGGACTTGCCCTTTTCTGAAGCATGATATAATCCTGATAAACTGTGATTACTTGTCAGCATGTCATTTCCCCCTTTCTGCTGATGGGACGAAACTAAGGTTTTGCATAGCTCGGGATTTAGTGCCTCCCAGTACAAATCCAGTAGTGCAACTTTACAATGCTTTCCAGCTTCATAGAGACACTACAAAATGTACCAAACTAAGTCACGGGATAGAACCCTACTTTGTAAGGACTAAGGAGTCTATTAACCACCATTGCATTATAATAGTGAATAGTTGAAAGGCAGAACATGAATTTATCTTCAATAGCAGTCAGCAGATATGGTGAGAGAAAGATTTGATCCTCAAGGTGTGTATAAAGCGCAGGAGGGTTTTGATATTAAATGTTACTGAAAAAACTAATGTGTGCATATTTAAACATAATATAGAAGCACCAGCATTTGTTTATCAGTCACTAGATAAAAACAAGGCGTAAAAATTAGGAAAAATTGATAGTAATAATCCCAACTATTGGCGGTCCGCTCATAATAATCCCAACTATTGATTATTACAGAATAATCCCCAACTTTAGGGACCTTCCGCCAATAATGGTCTCTATGAATAAATTCTTGTAGTTTCTAAAGTGGATGGGGTGAGATATAACAAGTAATCCCTCTAAATAATCTCAACTTTTAATTTTTATGCTTAATTTCTATTTAAAATTCACTTTTTATAGAGGTAATATATGGTCATGGACCATTATTGGCGGATAGTCTATATAGTTGGGATTATACAAAAATAATCAATAGTTGGGATTATTTTTAGCGGACCGGCAATAGTTGGGATTATTATTTTCAATTTTTCCTAAAAATTATACCGAAACTTGGTTACTAGTCACTTAACTCACTTCATTATTCAAAACTTCAAAAGATAAATGTCTGCATGCCAGATTTTAGCATGGCTATATTTTATGACCCAAAATGAGGAAGCATATTTAAATGATAAGTCACTAACTCATTGACACATATACACACAGGCAGTAGTTTTATAAATGGTTGGAAATATGCACAAATTCATCATTTAATGATTTTATTGAGAGTACTATAGACAATGCATGTCCAAAATGGCAATATGTAATAAATAACCCCTGCCACGAAAAAAAACATAAAATGAAAACTATTTCAACCAGAAGAGATTAGATTACGTGAAAAGAAAGGAGTGAACTTTCATTTCAGAACCAACAGATCTCTAGGAACCCCAGTGTAAAATGAAGTTAATTTGAAAGCAATGGAGAATATGAAAAGAAAGCTTTTACAGAGCATCGTAAAATAAAAGGAAGCATGCTTTTAAACATGAAGAAAACTGAATATGTAATTATGACCTCACCATCACTACAGATCCCCATAGATCATTTAATCTCTTTAATTCCAATAACCCTTTTTCCAGACAATAAACATCTGGTTCTGCCTGACTGTTTATGGAAAATTATGAACTATTTAGAACAAGTTCCTTCAAACCATCCATTTTATAGAAGCTCATGCTGCAAAACTAACCGATTTCCTGAATCAATGCAGTAAGATGGAAGTTCAAAGGCATGTCTGATCAATGTTTGTGAAAATTTAGCAAGATCCTCTTTGCATGATCCCTGCCATGTGAAATGTAGAGCCTTATTTGTGTTTAATTGAACAGATAATAATAAAAATAGAAGAACTATTGCAAACATGAACAAAGTTGTGGAATATATGCAAATCTAGATCGGTTCATGATGGCAACAGAACTTGAATAAGGGAAATCAGCTAGGACCACATAAGTGTCCAAACACAAATGGAATGTAGATTGGCATCTAATAAATCCTCTTATCCCAAACAACTTTTCATGTTTGACTTGGCACGCTTATTAAGAAGAGTGAAATAAAGAAGCATGAAGGTTCACCCTCTATTAGATGTTTATGTAGAAAGGAAATAAACAATATCAACCATATAATTATTTCCTTTTATTGAAGCATGAAGAATACTTTGGGACGGACCAAAAAGGTTAGCATCAAACTTAATTTCAGAAGAAGGGAGTGATACATAGAGAGCTTGTTTGACAAAACTTTGACCAAAGATAATTTGACCTCTATGTTTGTAATGAACTAAAAACTTCATCCTATGCTTGCCTAATCTCATTACATTCTCATATTTTGTCAACACTGTATACATAGCATCTAATAATGGTTTACCCAAAATTACATTTACCCATTTTATGATTAAGAGGTTGTAAAATTCGTTGTTCATCCTTCCAAAAAAGAAAGGCATGAACCAAGTTTGTCATCAAAATGGTCAACCTAATAGGAGTAGCTCAACACTTTATATGTTAATTTGTGTTTTTATATGCAATTAGTTTGGGATAGCTAAATAGTTAACACACCCCCGCCAGATGGTGGCTTGATGAAGTAGACCGATCTTGTCGTCCGTGTGTTCATTATTGAGGCTTACTAGGATCTAATTGCTCATCGAAGCTTAATTGGCTCTCATATCATATTAGAACTCAGGATTTATTGTAAAAGCTCAACCTAATAGAAGTAGCCCAAGACTTTACATGTTAGTTTGTATTTTTTACGCAACCGGTGTGGGATAGCTTAACAATCACCATGCTCACCGGGTTGAAACCTCACCTTCAATAGCCACATTTAAAGCATGGCAGCAGTGTCGAATCCTTAGTAGAGTCCTGTATTGCGTCCCTAATGGCATCTATGCATGAGCCTTCAGCTCAGAATCAATATATGTGAGATATTGATGTTTGTTGGTGGTACTTCATTCACACCTATCACACCACTACTCTCCTATAATGCTTAGCTTCAGTATAAATGGAAAACTATGGAATATGACCATTGATAATTGCAGGGGTACGACTCTTATATTTTTTCCTTTTCCTGAAAACTTCTTTGGGCATGAAAGTTGCATTGAGTTTCAGGTTATTGAATGGATAGTTTTTATGTGGCAGAAATAACCCAACAAGAAAAAGGGGGAAATGGAAAGAAATTATGTTTTCTTATAGTTTTTTATGCAAGGACCTTTTTATAAGCTGTCGTGTTGCCTCTTCTAACAATACAGTTTAACCTAAACTGTAATAGTGATAGTTTTGACGTCATTACTTAAAGAGAGCCAAGAGGAAACATAGAGAAAGATGGTGGTAGATCAATGACCAGACTACTCTTCATCTGGAAATATGTCTCACTTTTTCTTGATATTCTTTGTTTCAGGTTGTTTGGTTTTAGATGTGTGGACATACCAAAATGACCGCTTGAGGAATGAGATATTCAGACAAAAGGTGGGAGCAACACCTATAGAAGATAAGATGCATGAGTATCGATTGAGGTGGTTTGGTCATAGAAGGTGGGAGCAACACCTATAGAAGACATAGTGATGCAACACCTATAGAAGACATAGTGATGCACCTGTTACATGAGTTGCGAGGTGGGGTGAAAAGTCGAGGAGGAGAAGGAGAGGATGATCCAAACAGACTTGGATTAGAGAAATCAGAACCGATGTGCTTCTTCTTGGGTTGGATGAGAGTATGGCTTTGGAGAGAGCAAAGTGGAGCACACATATTCATGTGGACAATTGATCTATTTTCCCTCTTTTTCTTTTATCTTTTATCTTCTTTATCTTTCTATCTTCTTTGGCCATGTGGATAGAACGCTAGTGGCTTGGTGGTTCCAAAAGCGAAACTAAGTAAATGATATTGCTTAGTATAACATTTGACCAGAGAGATAGAAGAAAAAGAGACCAAAGCCTGAAAACCAACATTTTGCTTAATATAACAAATTGACATTCTAGCCATACTGCTTTTACCAAAGGAAACTGAACCAGATAGATGAAATGACTATTGCAAAAGGTCCAAAGAACTAATGCCTAAAGAATTATCTATGAAGTTTCTAAAAACATAAGAACAATAAGAATTTTAGAGTTTAGGCCACTTAGATACTCGACTACTCAAGCACATACCTACCGGAGAAGGTTTCATTGAGCAAGGAAAATGGAGCTCAAATGTACCTTGGCATGAAATACATAATATGAATGCAAGATAAAGAGGAAAATTTTCAGCATAATGAACACAAGAAATTTTAGTGCTCCTAAAAATCACTCCTTATACAAAAGATGACCATGTCAGCATTTAAAAGGGAATATTTCGGGGGGAGGGGGGGCAATATAAAAGTAATGCAGTTCACACCTTATTTTCTTCTCCATCAACTAGCCTCTTCAACATAAAACTAAGAGGCTCCATGGAAAGCAGTTGAAGAAGAGCTACCTGGAAGGCAATTGATGCAGCTTATGATTAACAAATACCTAACTTAGATAAGGTAATGACAGGATATACTGATATGTCAAAATCATGAGAGCTACATATAAAGGGAACATTAAAGAGAATGGTTACTGACCTTCAGAGCTCTAATGAAGCATGTTACTGTCCCATCTTGTCTTAGAAAGTAATTTCTTAAGAAAGTTGCGACCATGTGACCAATACTAAATCCAGCCCAATGCTTGATAAAAACTGCTTCAATTACTGAATCCAATCTCTCGGGTGGAGATTTCAACACAAATGCACATGCAGATAGACGTTCGAGTGCATGTGAAGAAAGTATGTTTCTAGGGGCATCAATATTTGTTGCAACACCCATTATTAAGATGATCGGGATCTTAATTGCCCATTCGCTGTGGGTAGATAGAAGGATAAAGAGATTTCAGTAAAATTGGCATGACAGGATAAAGAGATTTCACTAAAACTGTCTCATCTTTCCTTTTCAGTCCGTCCCACTAAGATTGTCTCATATCAAATTTGGTAAAGTTTGTGTGGCTCTAAATCATTCTTTCTTTATTCTTACTTTATCAACCACATAAATTCACTTTTCTTAATAGCCGCACTACCTCCTTATGTCTCATTGTTAGTGGGACGGAGGTAGTAATATACAAAGTTATACTACCTCCGTCCCCTTAAGTTTGAGACAAAGGGGTGTGGTGTTGTTTTCAAGAAAAAGTGGAATTGTGTGGTTGATATTGAATTGATAAAGTGTAAATAAAGTATAAATGAATTCTAACCACTCAAATATTACCTAATATAGTATGGGACAAACTTAATGGGACGGACGAAAAAGGTAAACGGGACAAAGTTAGGGGGACGGAGGGAGTATATGATATTATGATAATGTATATTAGCAGCCTATGAAGCAAGGAAACTCAAGAAAGAGTGCATTTTCATTTCGGAAACTCTATAGAAACTCTGGGAACTTTCCAAACAGTTGTTTTTCCATTAAAGGATGACGTTTCTCATTTCATGTTCCCCATGTTTCCTACGTTTATGTGTGACATGGTTAGTAGCTTATGAACAGATGCTAAGTAAACTATGCATATCATTAAATAAAGTATGAACAGGTGTTTAGTAAACCAGTATTATTTAATCAATCAGAGAAACTTTGTCTACTATTTCCCATGAACAACGTATAGCTTGAAAGATGATAGCTTAATGCCTAAACACATAGAACTGACAAAAGGGGAGTACGATTTTTTAATCAGCCTGTAAGTAATCTGGTGATGAATTCGTATCAATAACATATCTGGTTGGTCCTATGTTAAAAAGAAAAAAAAAAAGGCCACTCAAAATTAAATTTGAAGGCGTGATATCTGTATATATAAAAAATACTTGACTAAGTATTGGTAATTTGATCAGAACTTTTAAAATGCTATTCTGGTAAAGGTTACCATGAACTAATGTAGACATAATACCTCAACATAATTATGAACTCTGACAAGACAGTACCACAGCACCTCTCCAGGTCCTCAATAATGACAACTAATGGCTTCTCACTATTTCCATCCTTGCTATACCATGACGCCAAGAGGGAAATGTCTGCAGCCTTAGAACAAGAATGATACAAACTTTATAGCCATTCGCACATCATATAAATGCCCAGTTTTATCTCAAATGTCTAAGTTTGCAGCTTACATCAATGTCTAACAAAAGAAACTGTCGCAATAAACTTCTTAAACACCCTCCATTGCCATTTTTAAGGCAGAAGTCCAATGATGAGATGGTAGCCACATGGCATCCATAAGATATCATTTGTAAACGGAGTTCTTGAAAAGTCAATATATTGTCGACAATTTCCATATTTTCTGCAAATTGATACCATATTTTCTTTAAATAAGAATTCACAAAGAGAAAAGTAAACATAGGTAGCAGTGATAAAGTAGAAGGTGGTGCAATCTTTTGAAAGTGTGGAACTAACTGGTGAAAACCAGGGCAGTGAATATTCTTCTTTGAGATATAGCCCCACTATACGTATATAGAACTGGGTAAGAAAGACTGGCTTTTGTGGTGATCTCAGGCACCATGCCATCTCGCATTGCATCAAAAGACTCACTGACCCATTTCCGTATCTCATCAAAAGCATCTGCATTAATACTCCTCAAGACATCCTTGATTTCAATTCAATTAAAAAAAGACACTTATCAGTAAATCAGCAATAGTATTCACTCTGAAAGAACACCTTGGATGCAAATACTAAGGAGATCGAAAAACCTTGATGGAGTGTTCAATTCTAAACCATACAGAGCGAAAAGCATCCATCTTTCGGTGGATATCGTCTTTGTTCGCTTGAGATTCATTGCCTACAGATTTGGTCTTCCTCTTCCCCCGAATTGATTTGGTAGTAGAGGATAGTGGCTGCGAAGCTTTGTGGAGAACATAGAATGGCTTTGTTCATTTAGCATGACAGAAAAATAGCGACGTTATTTATAACCAAAATCAGGTTCCGGTTCTTAGTGTTGCATAAATAATAATTGACGAAGATCACCGATTCACTGACAATTAATATTAAAAATGGGGCTACCTGAAGGTTGTTTTCTGATGTGTCGGCGGAGGAAGATTCCGGCGGGGGATTGTCGGCGCATGGAGATGAAGCCATTTTCTGGGAGTACGATAGCTGCCCTTCCAGACTTGCAAACCCCTGGTATGGTGGCCTATTGATGGGACTTTGACTTCTCTCTTTTGGCGGGAAACACACTGCTCCAATATGGACTGAACAACTCTTTTCGCCTTTTGCCCTTTTGTCAACTTACCTGTGCATAGTTTGGGCTCATTAATTAAGGAGGTTTTTCAAAAATATTATCAAAATTAATTTTATTTATAAAAAATGACTAATATTTAATGTGGTATAGTTTTTTAGTAACTTAAATGTAAAATTTTAACATAAATCACTATGTTTAAAATATTTTTACAGACATTACACTTAAAAAGTCACATTTGTAAACAACATTAATTTTATATATAGAGAGAGAGAAATTATCCTGTCCAGCAGCCCCCGTCCGAACACCATCCGAACATCGCCTTTTAGGGCACTTCCCAGTGGAATTTTTTGATGAAATTTTTTGAGCATGTTCTTCATCAAGTTTAATTTATTCATACCAAATTTTAGCTCAAAATTCTATTGGGAAGGCAGTCAAATAATTTGTTGAAGTTGATTGCGCCAAAGTATACATATAAAAACGCAGTCAACTTCAACAAATTATTCGACTGCCTTCCCGATCGAATTTTCATCTGAAATTTGGTATGGATAAACTAGACGTGATGAAGAACATGTTCAAAAATTTTCATCAAAAAATTCCACCGGAAAGTACCCCAAAAGGCGATGTTCGGACGGTGTTCGGACTGGGGGCTGCTGGACATGATCATCCCTATATATATATATATATAGAGAGAGAGAGAGAGTAATCTTCCGGTCAGGAAATTCCTGACCGGAGCGCCGTCCGGCATCCTCCATTTGGGGGCCTTGTCGGTGGTATTTTTTGTTCAAATTTTTTGTGTAGGTTCCTCATCAAGTCTAGTTCATCCATATCAAGTTTCAGCCAAACATTCAAAATCATTTGTCTTGAAAAAAGTGGTCCATACCAAGTTTGTGTGACTTGCAAAATCATTTTTGTGTAGGTTCCCAATCATTTTTGCAAGTTAACTGGTCCGGATCAGTTAACTTGCAAAAATTATTTGACGACCTTCCCGATTGAATGTTTGGCTGAAATTTGGTATGGATGAACTAGACTTGACGAGGAACCTACACAAAAAAATTGAACAAAAAATACCACCGGGAAGGCCCCCAAACGGAGGAGGCCGGACGGCCCTCCTGTCCGGAAATTCTAGACGGGAATATTCCTATATATATATATATATATATATATATATATATATATATATATATATATATATATATATATATATGGATGAGTTCAAATGAGAAGACATCTTAATCTATTTAAGATGTCTATTAATCTATTTAGCTCAATTAATTAAAGAGTTTTTTTCCGTATTAATGTTAATTAATTAATTAATTACGAAAATAGGGTTGGGTCAAAAGTATTTACCAAAATACTGCTGGGTTAACCATGGTCGGGGGTAAGTCGCCCAACGGTTGGGCGACTTATAAGTCGCCAAACGGTTTGGCGACTTATAAGTCGCCCAACCGTTGGGCGACTTTCCCTTAAGTAAAAATCGGGTCTCGCCCCAAACAGAACACTTCACAGAAGCCTCCCCCAACTGAAAGTAGCTGCTGCGACGGACGAAGAAGAAGACGGACGAACCGCCATCTCCAACTCCGGCGCTCCTCCATCTCCGGCGACTCCACTCCGGCAACCCTCCATCTTCATCTTCAACACTCTTTACTCCTTATTCTAGGTAAATCCAAATCCATTTCATATAATTTTGCACTTAGGGTTTAGAATGTTAATTTTTTTTTAATTTTGGGATTATGAATTGATTGTGAATGAAGTTGTTGTGAAATGTGAATATGTATGAAATGTTGAAATATGATTTTAAATTGTTTGTAAATTGTAATGTGTATTTTGACATTTGAGCATTTGGGTATAGTTGAATGTACCTAAATTTGGGTATTCAAAGGTAGACATTGAATGTAGATATCAAAATTTGGGTAGTTTGTTATTGAAATGTGAATTGTTTGTGAATTTGGAGTTAATGATATATTACAATTTTGGAAGCAATTTCTATTAAAAATGTGAATGTGTATAAAGTGTGTATATTGATGCCTACTCATGAATGTTGGACAATGAGTTGTTATTAGAAGATGGATTTCTCAAGCTTCCCACTCGTGTGTCATTGGGGAGGGAACTATTATGAGAATGGTGGGCAAATATGCCATGAAGGTGGCAGAACGAGCTTTGTCATGGTTTCTCGTGGCGCTTGCATGGTCGAGATCCTTCAAAAAATACATGCAGCGACAATGATTCATCCCGGCCGTTCATTGCGGTTGAAAATGAAATTTCCCATGAACGGGGGAAAGTACATGCTCAGGAGATGGCATCCACGTCTAGTGCAGCCGCGGCTTCATCATCCCAGACGCAACATGAGAGAGTGGTTCTTCAACCACGACAACGCCGTAGGCGTAGACATGAGCAGCAACATCTCCATGACGAAGCTGATGATGGGAACTTGTAGTTTGTCTTTTGTATTGTAGTTTTTCTTATGCAATAGATGTTGTAGGAACAATTTACAAGTTTTGATGTATTTTCTCTTGTTAAGTATTCTATGTTGTATTGATGTGTTCGAGTAGGAATATTACATGATTATTTGTTATGGCATGTATGATGATTGAACTGTGTTATACCGGTTATGATTTGAAAGTTTTTTAGCGCTGTTTATAAGGTGTTTTTTATGTTGTTGAGAGTAGGTGAATATCATGTGTTGTATCTAGTTTGTAACACTTCAAAAGGAGAAAGGAGACCTTATTTGTAGCAAACAGATCGGTCTGGATTGAACCGGGGCGAAAAACAAGCTGATTTGGTGTTTTAGGTAATAGGCACGATCGTGCCTAAGGAAATAGGCACGATCGTGCGTGGCTGGCAGTAGCTGCTCGCTTGAAACCATATTTCAGGGCAAAGTCGCCCAACCGTTGGGCGACTTATAAGTCGCCAAACCGTTTGGCGACTTATAAGTCGCCCAACGGTTGGGCGACTTTGCCCTGACCACGGTTAAGGCCCAGCAGTATTTTGGTAAATACTTTTTTTCCAGCATTATTTCCGTAAATAATTAATTAATTAGCATTAATTAGGAAAAAAACTCTTAATTAAAAACTGATTACACACACACATATATATATAAACTATATATATATATATATAGGGATGAGTTCAAATGAGAAGACATCTTAACGTGTAAAATGAGATCGGCAATTTGGACGGTTCAGATTAATTCTCATTTTACACGTTAAGACTTTTTTTTATTTGATCCAAATTCTATGTGTGTGTGTAATCAGTTTTTAATTAATTGAGCTAAATAGATTAATAGACAATCACACAACACATCTACTCAACGTATTTATACTTAGAAGTTTTATCAATTTAAGAACTGGAATATAGATTCAGTGTATCTTATATCAACCAAAGGTTTAAAATATTACAAGTAATATAGTTTAAATAATGAATTATTAAAACAAAAACATTCGATATAGAATTTGTGGTTCTTTATTGTTTAATACTCACTTTGTCCTATTAATATTGTCTCATTTTTCCTTTTTGATCCGTCTCACTAAGAATGTTTCCTACCAAATTTGGAAAAGTTTGTGTGATTTTAAATCATTCTTACTTTATTTTTACTTTATTAATTCAATATCAAATGCATAAACTCAATTTTGTGAATAATCGTGTCACATCCTTTGGTCTGGTTAAGTCTAGTTTGGTACGTTCTACTCTGAATTGGTAAGATATATATAGATGAATGATTTGTATGTGTATTTTACAAGCGTCGAAATTTGATATGGTCTATTTAAGTTTGTCCTGTCATGGGATTAAAACTAGTTCAGTTAAACACATCTTTCGTCTCTTTAAACAGTATAGGCGTATAGTAAGACTATTAACAAGTGGATCCGAGCTCGTACATTCAGAGCTCGAGTTCGGCCCGATTTGATAATGGTGGTGTTAAAAATCTTAAGATCTGGGTTTGAAAATCAACAAGCTTTAAAAATAAGAATCGAGTTCGATTTGATAGTGTTCAATGTTTGAGATGTGCACTTGATAAGCTGGATTAATGTGCTTGAATATAGGAACTTAGCTTATACTCTAAATATTCAACAAGTGCTCCCTTCATTGTTAATCATATTTAAATTTATGGAACCACGTTAAAAAAAATTATATTTTAACAAATACATAAATTATCCCTATAATTTCCTAGTGCTCAATAGGATCAAATTTGAATCAAATTGAACATTACTATATTCGAAATAGGAACATAATATACATGCAGCCGATGGAAAAATAGTGAACTGAGCTAATCCAATAGAGGATATACGAAGGATGTTTTCTTTTGGACTGTTTTCAGCTCCAGACCAGATAAGACCAGATAAGACCAGACCAGATAAGACCAGATCAGACCAGACCAAACTTGACTTCTGTAGTTATAAAATACACAGAGACCAGACGTTTACCAGACCAGACCAGACCAGACCAGACCAGATCAGACCAGACCAGATCAGACCAGACCATATCAGACCAGACCAGACCAGCAAATTTCAGGCCAAAAGAAAACATCTGAAGTATATATTAGCTAGAAAAATCAAATGTACACCAAAGTAATTATTAATTGATTTTTCTAGAAGAGGGAAAATAAAAAATATTTAGATGATTATAAACTTGTTATAGCCCATAGTGACAATATAATACAATCAATTGATATATAACATTTCCCCTTTTTTACTTGGTCAAAACAATGAACAATATGTTAATCGATCAATGAGAAAATGATGAAAAACAAGACGCGTTTTTTCTTAAATATTACTGAAATAAAACATACTCCGTCTGAATTATGATGTGGTTAAAATTACTACTAACATGGTGTTTTTTTATCATCAAACGGGCCTCTATTCATATCAAAAGATTCAGGATCATTACATCAAGCAAAAGGAAAATAAATCTGACACCAACTGAAACTTCAACAACTACGACTGTAACCCTATGGTGAGACTTTGAGACGGTCACCCCTGAGAGAGCAACACGAATCGCTAACCATGTAGTGGGCTTGACACAGCCAAACCTATTCCCATAGATCCAACCACACCCAATGACATATAGAGAGGCAAAAAACTCAAACAAACAGTCAAAACCAACAACAAAAGTTGACACAAGAAAACAAATAACAAACAGATAAAAACTACAAGAAAAGCGTTCACGAACTCTAGCACCTCGTACATCCCATGGTGGTGGTTCAGGAGGAGGTCTTACCACCGGTACCATGCTAATTGATACTCCGTGACCTTTGGCTGTTAAAGGCCATGCATCAATCCTCCGTCCCTGCATAACCAAACTCATTCATAACCAAACTCATTCATGACCTTTGGCGCCGATCTTCTCCAACGACAACGACAACGCATCATCCTCGAACCTTGACCACAACGCCGATCACCTCGAGCCATGACAGCAAATCCGCCCTTCGAGGACGAAGCACAAACAACAGCAGTCGTCCTTCGATTAAAATCGAAGACGGAAATAGCGGCCGTCCTTCGATTAAAATCGAAGACGGAAAAAAACGGCCGTCCTTCGATTAAAATCGAAGACGGAAAAAGACTCCAAGCGGCCGAAGCCCTAGAGAGAAGCGAGAGACGATCACAGCAAATTTTCCGCAAAAAGATTTTATAGATCTTCACGATTTTGTCCAAATCGCCAATAGTTTGAGGAATTTCATTGGGTGGCAGAGACAATTAGGGTACGCTTACTAACATGGTGTTATGATCACTGTAATGTAAAATTGAACATAATACAAAATATTTATGGCTAAAATTATCGCTATAGTCAATAAAATATACAAAGTCGTATTTTAGTTCGGCACTTTCATAAATTTCATTTTAGTCATATATTTATAATTATAATCCTTGTCTACATTTATAAATTTCATTTTAGTCTTATACTCCCTCTGTTTCTAAATCAAAATGTCACTTTGACTTTGCTTTTTTCTAGGCAGACATTTGATCGTAATTATCTATAATTATATACCTTTAAAATATTTAATAAATTGACATTTGAATAATACATATTACAATAAAGCACATTAAAGGACAGATTTTATTATTTTTGAGCGATTAAAGGTAAAAGTTTAACAAATTTTGCTCAAAAAGTCAAAATATTATACACTTCGATTAGGGATTTTAATTAAGGGATTATTTCTACCCGCACGGGTAGCTCAGTTATTCCAGTAGTGGAAAATTTGGAACAATGACCCAGGTTTGAAACCTGCAGCGGCCGTGTTGGGCTAAACATCTCCCCTCTGGTGCGCACGGGTATAAGTCTGCCACTATTGGACCGACTAAGTTACCGTGACTTACTCCTCCACCATTCTGTCAGGTTAGGGTGGGGGCTCCTGAGGTGGAGGTTCCACCTTTTGGAACAACAACCATTAAGGGAATATTTCATGATAGCATGTAGTACGGACTACGGAGTGATGAGCTAAAATGATACATCCAACTTGGGGCGTAGCCACTATACACTAAAATTCTAAAAACATCATATATAAAAATATAAAAGCGACAATAGTGTGAACATAATGATTAAAATCTATTTAAAATTGATAATAATATTTTTAAACAATACATACAATGTTTGAAACTAAAACGTTAACTGAACACGACGCTCTTTGACATTTCCACGATTGAGAGATGTTTCAGAGTCATCATGACCCCTAATGCACAACCTTGTAAAGCTAACCATAAAATACTTTTAATGGTTGTCCTTACATGCAAACGATTTTTCACCACTTCTTCTTTACCGATCCTAGCAATGACTTTGCCAATATGTTGACTTAATTTCATTAAGGAATCAGCACAAGTCACACTCTTATTATGAGGTGATGAAGGGGATGAACCAACATGCACAAGAAACATACATTCTTTACCTCTATGAACTCATTTCCAACTATCAAAACCAATAGTCACTAAAGCCGAAACACAAGAGGAATTCACAACATCACTGAAGAGAAAGCATGGAAAACAATATGCCTTCTGTGTTGTTGGAGAGTATTTTAACCAATTAAATCCATTGAACCAAGTGGCTTGAAAATAACGTATCCTATCTTTGTAAACTAGGCCTTTGTAAAAGTTAAATTTCGGTTGAAAAAATGAAATTAGACGATCGTCTAATTTCATCTTCTCTCTAACAGCCAATCACTAATCGTTTTGCGTTTTCCCGGATCCCGCTCAATTTCAAGTGAATCAGAAACTATTTCCTCTTGAGCGGATGAGATATTAGGAGTTTCAATTAAGACACTTAACTCTTGTCTACTTTGTGGGCTTATATTAGGCTTATAAAACGAACGCAATGTGATTTTTGCCTTTTTGGAAGGGAGTAGCCATAACTACTAAAATTACCCAAAAAAAACTAATCAATATTTTATTTCATTTCATACAAGTCAAATTAATAATTTTTAAAAATTCAAAATTCTCTATTTCACAATTCAAAATTCTCTTTCTAGACAAAGATATTTATGCTCTAAAATTTCACGTTTTCTGCTATATATGTTGTTTAAAGCATAGTTTATACTGATACATTTTTTTTTGAATAAATACTGATACATATTTGTTAAATATAAAAAGGGAAGTGATAATAAGCATACATAACATATAATATATCAACAAAATATCATTGTCATGCAATAACAAGCAAACGGTAAATTGCGATTTAAAATATCAACGTATTAGTATCATAGCAATAGACTTCAGTGTATGTACAACGTTTCACTTAATCAAAATAAATCTAGTATCGACCATTTACTTTCTAATAACTAAAAAATATTATTTTTAATGATTAATAAATAAAATGACAAGTTTTTAAAAAGTCCGGTTTATTCGGTTCGGTTCGGTTTTGAGATGTGAAAACCGAAAACGAAACCAAACAACTACGGTTCAGTTTGGCATTTTGAGTTCGATTTCGATTTTCTTACGGTTCGGTTGTTTTGGTTGCGGTTCGAGTTTTTTCGATTCGGTTTTCGGTTTTTGGTTTCTCCCACCCACCCCTACTATCAAGTACTACCTCCATCCCGAAAAGGTTCGCCAGATTTACATTTCTTGGTCAATGATAACGAACTTTGAGCAATGATTTAAAGTATTACATTTTGATATAATTTATAAATTTTACTCCCTCCGTCCCTGAATGTTGTTCCAATTGCGGATTACGAAGGTTGACTGACGATAAAGTTAAATGATCCCTGTGAAAACTCGGATTATTTTTAGTAAATAAAATTTATATATTCAGAAACTACATTAAACCCGCTACAAAGCCTGCAAAAAAAATCAATTTTCATAAAGTTTTGATACAAAATGTAAGAGTTTAAGAGTGATTTAAGTTGACTCTCGAAAAGAGAAATGCAAGTAAATTTAGGGACAGAGAGTATATTTTTATAACTTTCATATTATAAAAATAGGGGAATTCTATTGACAGCCCCACTTTTGCTAGATACACACCCGTATACATCCGTAACCGACGTTATTTTTCTTAATCACAATTATACCCTTAGAACTTAACGCCCGTCGAGTTCAATCAAACGCCTACTCATTTCCACAATTCCACATGCTCCAGACATTTATCCAGTGTCTGAGCTTTTCCAGAAAGAAGAGAACCCAGAAATCAGATACCAGCTAGAAGAAGACAACTTCTTGGATTTCGAAGCTCTCTTGATAAGGCGAGACGACTGAGTTCAGTCCATAGATATCCCCGACCAGTAAGGCGAAAAGAGATCAAATCTGGAAGTGAAGCTAGCACCGTGTAGTCGCCCACCGAGAAGGAGAAGACCAGTTCTTGGACTTGGAAGCCCTCTCGAGAAGGAGACTAAGGAGAAAAAGTATTCCAGAACGTACATCTTCATTTACCTAGCTCGCCGTTGTGTCTCTTTGAAACAGGTAGTTTTTGAAATTGTCTCATATTTTCTTCCACTTGAACCGGAACAAGTAGTTGTCGAATTGATTTGGCATTGAATTGAAATGGGTAGGGGTTTGTAGTAATTTAGAAAAAGGGATGGATTGAAGTCAATCTCTTCATGTGAAGTTTAAAAGAAAATTCCCTACTTCGTTTATCTTTATCAGCCAATCCAGTAGTTGCTTCATGAACCTAATGTTAAATTGTGATTAAAGAAAAAATATGGATGGTTGAACCCGGTATAAAGGGAAACAAAACAGGGATAGTTTTAGCTACGATTCTCTGTTGTCAATGGAAAAATATTGCCAGAAAGTTTGCTTACATCTGATTGTGGGTATTGTTCCTAGTCAAGAGCTGATTTAGCACTTAATGCAGATAACCACATTATAGTCCTCATTTGTAAATTCAGCAGCAATATTTGCATCTATAGAACTCTCGCTCGTCCCAGTCTTCTAAGATGCTTTCAGGATCAATTCAGTCCATAAGAACTGCCTTCCCAATTTGTTTATTTAAATGTTATATGTAAACCCTTTCACCTGATATATACAGTCATGGGTTGCAATGTGCAAGTTCCCCGACAATAAAAGATGCAACAGGTGGTGAAACCATGCCATGATGCTCTCTGGAATTAAGGCCAGAATACTCTGAACTGCACTTTTCACAAATTGATGGTTCTAAACTGTTATTTCCCTTTAAAGAAAAATAAAAACTAACTTCCAAGGCAATGTTTTGAGAAGTGTTGCTTATTCTCATATTCCCTTTTTTTATTCTTTAATTTATTTGTCATTTAGTGTAAAGAGTGGAACCGATGGATGAAGTTCAAGTGCGAGTGCGACTGTGCGAGTAGTTATTTTTGCAAATGGGAAAAATTGCCAAAAAGTCCAACTCTAATGTTTGAATTTATGGGACACCGGTGAAACATCCTCCATATATATTCATAAATAATCAGTGGTTAAAATGTGGGAAACACTTTATACTTTCTACTTTGTTATCAGCATACTATAGCATCTTAGCAAAACTATGGTTTCTAATGATTTTCTGTGATGATTAATTATGTCTTGCTTTTAAATTCCATATCGTCCATGTTTGTATGTGATTGGTGGACATCCCTTTACAGTCTTCTCTGTGATTACTTCTTTGGATGTTTACGACTATGCCTCTGCAATGGATTTATACTATATACGTTTTTTGATGTTGGGCATTAATGCAGGGGGATGATTTGTATTTGACAGAAAGAATTTCGTAAAGCCTTGGACCTTTTTATTTAAGTTTTGGTCAAGCAGGAAGAGAAATATGTAATTTTTCCCTTTCTGGTAGTATGATTGAAGTTAAAAGCAATTTATTTTGTTTACCATCTTTTACTATGCTTTTAGGTAGTCAGATCACCAATGTCCACTTTAAATGCTCTAGCAGTTGAGGCATACAAGGACATTCTAGTTTCACTTATCAAGATTGGGCAGGTCTATTTTGCTACATGTTACACCATTCTTTAACTGCTATCATTCTTTTGGGTGTGGTGGCAGTTCAGACTTGTAGCAGCCACACTGGCCATCATTCTTACCCTGCTTTGTCCCTTTCACATGCCCTCCAAAATACTCTGCACTTTGAATAGAGTTCGAAGATCATACTGAGTAATTCAGAGCAGTAATATAAAATTGATTTTATAGATGGACCAAAAATCACATGCTCATTCAACTTGACTGAGAAAAACAATGGCTTCAAAATGGGAAGAGAATCTCCTTCGGCTTCCCCACTCAATAAATTGAACTAAAGCAAAATTGATAAACACGTACTCTATAAAATTTAACTACGTACTTGAGAAAACTGAAATACGAGCAGGTCCGCGTGAGAGGTCCGCGTGAGAGGTCCGCGTTCTGCGTTTTGGGCGATCATTAATGAGAGGTTAACGTTCTGGCCCTCACTTAACGATAGTTATGTAGAGTGAGGGTAGTTTAGATGATTGAGATATTTTTATTTATTATTATTTAATTAAGTGGCTGTGTTTAGTAAAAAATGGGTTGTGAATAGAATTACCCTTATAAATAATTTCGTATTAAGACTTTCCTGGGGACTGAGGGACTGCTATGGTATGCTCACAAGCGCGGGAGTGCCCCTCATTTGCAACCTCGGCTATCAGACTTCAAGATCACCCCTTACGCCTTCTGCGTTGCTTCGCTTCCAATAATTTGAAGAGAAATTAAGACCCCAACGGACCGGAGATGGTCAAGAAAGAAGATTCGGTTGTCCTGCTAAAGCTGCTCAAACTCGGAGAGGTCGAAGGCAAGTCGTTTGAATCGATTGTCGAAGAAGAGTTCAGATCAGAATTCGAACTCATTCGTTATCACAAAGCATGTTATACTCTCGCTTCAATCCTTGAGGTATAAATCCAGCCTTTTTAATTTATCCCTCTCATTTCTCAGTGTGCAACCTTTGCCAATCCGTGTATCCCCTCCATATTGTACATATGTAGACGTGCTTGTGGGGTTTCCTCGATTGTGGTATTGAAAAGTTTGTCTGTGTCTGTCTTCCCCAACTCGTCAGTCACCATGGATTAAATTGTGAAATGAACATTTCATTCAAACTATACTGGCTTTCTAGTAATCTAATGCAGTACTTGAATCAACATGAAGGGGTTGTTCTGAAATTGGTATCTGTCAATTCAAAACTTTTATTCCTAATGCTGATTCTTGATTGAGGGGGGAGGGGTCTTGTTGTTTATGCTGTTTCTGTTTTGTTTCCTTTTCGTTCTTTTCGGTTCTTGAATAAAGTTGAGGTGGCATTATCTTTTCAAAGTCACCATTTTGACAATGTGCGAGCAAAATTGCATTAATGTTTTTTTGTACACCTGGCGAAAAAGTGTGGAGGATCTCTGCAATCACCAACGTGTTTTTACAATGTGCAAGAAAAATTGCTTTATTTCATGTCTGCAAATGTTAAGTGAAACCAAATATCATGTCTACAGGCACTGACCATTACTTTGTTGTTTTCAAGCCTGGAATCTTGTTCCATTTAGTGCAAATCATTGAACATTTAAACATCTGCTTAAATGCATTGATCATTTGATCACCAAACAGCATAAGTTTTTTTACGATAAGTTAATGTCTATATTTGCAGCTCAAAGTACTTAATCCCTCCAAGCGGTTAGTTGCCTTTGCAATTATTCGTCAAGCATTTTCTTACCCAAAGTTCTCTTCAAATCCCTTCATGCCGTTTCTTATCAATGTAAGTTTTCCATCATAGTGCAATTGTGCTGCCAAACAGTTAATGGCATTTGGTTTCGAATTGCTTCCTGTCTGCTATTTTGTTTCATTGTTTCAATATGCTCACTCTGAATTAACAAATGCACTTTATTTGTATGGAAATTTGTATGGAAATGCATTCAAAGCTTCCTTACATTATTTTTTGTTCAAGCGTGTTTCCATTTTTTGGGATATTCTCCCGCATTTTGAGGGGCTTTGTTCTGTTTACATATAATAGGTAGAATTGAGATCCTTAAATCACTGGGTCATTGGATTACCTGATTAAATATTTCATTTTTTGTATATTTGTTTATGGAAGAGTTGATAAACATTCATTAGTGGGGGGTGATAACCAGTTTGTCACGATCAATTTGGATAACTGAATGGCTTGCAACAATATGGATAGCCAAATGGGTCTTTTGTGGTTGGTTATAGTGTTATACCGGTACTGAACTACTGCGAAATTCACAGCACAGTGAAACAAGCACCATAAGTATTAACAAGTAACTAAGTAAGCTATAGTAATCATGAAACAGACAAGCTATAATTCTTCAATAACTTAAATAAATTATAACGAAGTAGAACAACCCTTCATGTGATGAGTCGGGCAAGGGTTTAGAAAGGCAATGGAGTAATTTCATTAATCACAAATACTAGAAAGTACTCCGTAATATTTAGCTCACAAGTACTTACTACTTAGTAATCAGAAATTCAATTAAGTGATGGATTATCTAAGGCTTGAAAAAGTAACTGAGCATTGGACAGCTTAATCACAGTATCACACACCATGAAATGTTCATATACAAAATATATACTCCCATCCTGAATATATCTTTTGGTTTTCTCTTTGGTCCGTCCTAGCATCCAAAATATCTTCCAATTCCCTTTTTAAGGAAAGAGATGTGTAATTGTTATTATTTCAATCATTTCACCCAAATCTCGACCACACTTATTCATTTTCAACAAACTTTTTTGTAATATTGCTAAGTCAAAACTAGAATATCATTTCATGATGGAGGGACCTTTGTTTTATATCTTGGGAGTAAAGTAGAACTCACAGAAAGATTTTCATGCCATGAAGGGACAAATTTTTTCTAGCATGCTCAACCTTAACGACTGAAATTGTTTTATATTCAAAAAGATTAAATAATTTTTGTGATTGCTTGGTTCCATATTGTATTGTATCCCCTTTCAAAGTCATTTCTAGAAAAGACAATCAAAGCTTCATCGCCATAATTAGATACACTCATACACGCTTAGCTATGCGTGCTGAAAGAGCACTTGATGTGCAGCGGAAAACATGGTTTGTAGTTATCCAGATGTTTGAGGCTCTTCTACTCTCAAACTTTATTATCCACTTTCAGTTGATGTTTAGCTTTTTGAGTTAATATCTCTATTTTGAGTTGTTATCCAAAATTTCAGTTGATATTAAATTATAACGAACTAGAACAACCCTTCATCTAACGCATCTCACCAATGCATTGCAGTGTTTTACATTAACTCTTCGTTACCATGTGTTTCATTTGCATTTGCAGGCCGCTTGTGATGAGGAGGCTGATAAATGTGAAAGGGCTTTTATTCTTCATTTGCTGGGATGCGCAACTATAAAGGAGGTTGCGCCTTTCTTTTTATTTTTCATTATTCATTGACTCAACTAGTCAACTTTAATGATTACTTCTGTTTCTAAAAAAGAAGAAAGTTTTCATGGGTGATATTTGGTGAACTTGCGATGATTCTATTATATTGTAAATGTTCTTGCACCTGGTCACATTTCAAGAAAGTAATCATATTAATTCTTTTTTGCAGCAATCATACCTGCAAGCTGCTACATCATCTTTAACAACATATGTAAGTCAAACGTATTATTCATTCTTGTTGCAGCCTTCATACCTGCCTGCAGGTTTCAAATTGCCATTCTCATGCCTGCAGGTTTTAAAGAAGTCTTTTCAAGAATTTATGAGAAGTTGCGATCCTTCAAAATATGTGAGTAATAACAATGCTAAATTCATGTTTTTCATTCTATATGAAGTAGATTTATATCACTGGATTGAATTATTCATTACCTATTATATTATCAACCACCAAACACTATCACGTGCCTAATCTATCCCATCATTGAACTTGGCAGGATTTTCCAACAATTGAAGGTTTGCGAAAAAAGCTTAAGGTTAATGATTCACCAGAAAGGTTTAGCTCCCTGTTTGATAAAAACTCTGAGAAACGTAATTCCAGACCCTGATGTGCCTACTGGCTGTGATAGCGATTCAGCAGAGTATGACTCTTTTTTTATGTTTAATGATTTTTCATTTCAAAGATTTAGTTTTTTACCCTTTAAAGCAAAACTCTGGACCAAATTACAGGTAATGAGTTTGGGAAATCTGGAGGTATGACTTTGTAAATACCTATGCCGTCATCATTTTGCCATTGTTTTCATCTAACTATCATTAATCAACTTCAAGTTTGACTTGAAACCTAAAATTGGATGCGGGAATGTTGACAAAGCAATAATTGGATTAATATCAAATATGTCTCTAAAAGGGTTACAGCCTCAATGGAAAAGGCCTTTCCCTCCTAGGCTTCCAGTACTCGATAATGATGTAAGCGCACACTGAGTATGTTGGATTCCTTTAAATGAAGATCCCGTTCGTCATGTACACGCTGGGGGTGTGTACACGCCGTTTTTTTACACACCACACAGACAACTCCCTAAAAAGTTTAAGATATTTTTTTGTTTTTTAAAAATAATTGCCAGTACACAAAAAATAGGGGGTGGGTGTGTGTACAAAAGGATTTTTCCTTAAATGAAATAGTGATATAAATTTACGACCATGTAGTGGTAAAATGGACTTTTGGACTTTTGAATGGATAATGACATCTTTATGTTTGGTTTGGTAGCTAGTGTGGTTAAATCCTGACGATAAAGATCATCATCTTCTTTGGGATCATGGAATGTGTGGTGTGGAGTTAGTTGCAAAAGCTTTTAAGAGCCCGCTTAATCCTTCTGAGCAAAAGGTTGAAAGCTCATTTTTCATCTCATATTCATTGATATTCTTATGTCCTGTTACACTTTTAGGCTGCTTTCTATTTTTCTCATTTACAACAAGGCCTTATTTCCTGCATTCACATGGTTTTGTTTAGTGTGTGTCTGGCTCCTGAAAAATGCTACTTAAAGGGAAAAATGCGTAGGAAAGCTTTCCTTTCTTATGTTTTGGCTTTACCTTGGAAAATGACATGTCATATGTGGCGTATCTCCTAAATTTTGTAAAGCATTATTTAGATCTGTTATTCTCTTGTAATAGAATAACAATGGAGCCAAAGATTCACTATTTTTTTACTTGAGAATATGATGGAATAAAGCAAAATGACTCACTAAACTGTCTGCGCTTTTTTGTTATGAATCAACGGTCAGTCCATGCAATTTTGGGCGCGATTTTCATTATGGGTCATCCGGAAACAGTCTCTCTGTGCTTTAGTACAAGGGTAAGACTGCGTACATTCGACCCCCCTTACCCCACCGTAGGTGGGAGCCTTTGCAGCACTGGGGTAAATGAAAATGATTCTCTTGTAATAGAAATACATTAATAAAATGAGTTCATTGAGTGTAAGCCTATTTTACTCCCCCCTCCTGGTTTTCCTCCCTATATTTTCCCCTAGTACTTCGTGGTTTCCAAATGGACTCTTAATTATTCCAGATTGTTTTCTAAGCAGATTATTCTTTCCAATTTATTACATTGCTATTTGTGTTTTTCATTTCCTTATCATCATGTGATATGTTGCCTGAACTTAACGCAGCAAATTCTGATGGACTTGGAGAAGAACCCAATGCTTGTGTATCATTGTGGTCTGACACCAATAACATTGGTGGTAAGTAAATGGTCTGAGGAGGGAAGTGTGAGAGGAGCTTGTTGCATGGTGAATAGTTAAAAATGTGATGTTGGCCTGTGTTTTCCGTTCAGGAAAAGAAAATGATCTGACGAAATTTTAAAGAAAGAAAATTAGAAAATACTGCTGCACAGGATCTGTTCCCACTTTTGAGAAAGACTAGAAAACTTTCTACGTTTTCCCTTTCATTTTTTCCTTTTTCTGTTCAAAAAGATTGTAAATTGTCAGAAAATTTCCGTTTTTTAATGCACCATAATGTCTAGAGTGAATGAGATTTCAAAGATAACGACCCTGCATTTCAGGAGCTTGTAGAGAAAAATCCTTTGATTGCAGTTAAAGCTCTTGTAAAGTTGGTGAATTCCCCTGTGATTGCCAAGTATGCCCTTTACCTTTTCATTGATTAGTTAAATGAACGATTTCGGATTAACCTGTAGCCAAAAAGATCATAATTGGATTCGTTTAATGTCTTACGCAATCATTCAAGTACTATCATCATGTAATACAATATATATTTGTGTGTTTGGAATTCCGTATGTTTGTTGCAGCTACTTTACTGCTCTTGTTGACAACGAAATGAGTCCACACTCGATGGCAGTAGTTTACAATCTCACACAAGCGGACAATGTCAAACTGCCCACTGAATTCATACATTCGTGCATCACTAAGAGTATCTCATCGTGTAAGAACATCAAGGTCACTTTCTGCTCATCTCATCTCATCTCATCTCATCTTCTCATTAGTTACGATGTATGCATAATTGGCGTGAGGACTTTTGCTATATTTCAATTGTTCAGGACGACGAGTTCAGTCAGGAGAGACGAGCAAGGCTTGTCTGTGTCTTCATTCAGAACTTGATCCAGAAGGATAATTCTATTGTTGGTAAGTACTGTGCTCATAGTCAGTTTTACACATGATTGAACTAACTTGTTTATTTTCCTTCTTCTTTTACCCTCTGGTTGAAATAGTCACAAATATTTTCCTTCTTTGTTCAAAAGAATATTCATCGAGGTTTCTTATTTTTCTTCTATTAAAGAATTTTCATACTCATATACTGACATACTCTATTAGATATAGGAATGTTATACCAACTCGAGTAACATATGTGTGGTTAAATAGTAGAGATATTGCAGTCATGGTTTATGAAATGCAGTTTTGGGCTTTAAAGTAAATAAATGCCGTGATGTTTAATTACTTTTGCAGGTAGAGAACTCTTGAATGAAGTCCGATCATTTTGTATGCAGTTCTCATGGACTAGTGAGGCTGATAAGCTCTTGCAGTTGCTTGGAAGTTGGAACATTGCGGAATAATAATAATAATCCTGCACGCAGAGATCAGCCAAGGCAAAGGAGAATAAGAAAATAAAAACTCTTAGGTAGCTTATGTAAATCGATCATTGTCTTCCTGGCTTCGTGCCAGGTCACGTAGATAATACAATACCAACACAAGTTCATGAATCTGATCTGATTTTTGCTCTGATTAGCTCATGAGATTTTGTTCCATTTTAGCTTGATTAAATCATCTCAACGGGTATTGCATCATCATATCTTAATGAAAGAGGGGAGTTAGTTAAATAAATCATTTTATTATTTCAAAGTCATCAAATAAAATACTCAAGTTGAAAAAATTGCCGCATAAATGTGTCGACTGGCTCACTGGCATTCAATAAACATTGTATACTATTAGTTGTTAAGTTAGGTTGTTTTATTTATTGATACTTGAAAGAATGTCTAATACAATAACATTCAAACCTTATTACCTAATAAAACAATGTCTAATACGTAATAACTCTTTTTAAGAAAATCGATCTCTACTTTTTATTATACTCCATGTTTGCAAGGGTTTGATCTTTGAATATGTTTTTATCTGTAATTTGTTTTACGTGTAATTTTTTTTTTTTATTATTCTTGTTGTTTACATTGGTTTTTATTTCAGTCCATCGCCATTAATAACAACCTCCGTTTGACAATGAAGCAATCTCAAATAATAGGATTTCTCTCATTCGTTATCATGTTATTAAAAAAGTCTTTAATTTATTTTTACAAAGTTGTTAATACATGTTTTAAAAATGCTAATAATTAGTTTTACATTGTTTTAGTTTTCATATTAGTTTGAAAATTTTATAAAAAGTTAAATTTAATTACAAGTTTCTAGTAATATTATGCAACTGATATTATTTTTTTTACTAAATAGAGTGGCTTCGGTGTTAAAGATGAACTAAAAATAGTCATATTACTGTGATGAAAAAACAAAAAAAAAATTTACTGGTATTTAAAACGAAGCACATAGTTTGTCATATTTGTTGTCAAATTTACTCCGTATATGATTAGGAAATTGAGGATGAGTAAAACATCGTGGTTGACGCATATAAACCTCTTCCGTAAGATGACAATGAACAAAAGCATTTTTGACATCAAGCTGACACACAACCCAACTAAAATAAATAGCAAGGGTGAGAACAATATGAACAGTGGTGGGTTTAACAATCGTACACCCGACCCACAATATTCAACCGTTTATTCCTACCATCCTACCTCCCTTCACCCATCTCCCGAATCTGCTAACCCAGTCAACCTCTCTGTCCAGACCGCCCCATACTCCCAGCTTGAACCCACTGCCTAGCCTACGACCCAGATCGAAACCACTACCCAGTCCGATCCCACTGTCCCGCCCTGATCTCTGTCCCCCTCTTTCTTCGAATTAACTCCCAACTGACCCAACAGAATCGCCTTCTAGTAGCTCCCTTACCGATTCTGTGACCACCTCTATCCTAAATATCCACCCTATGCAAATTAGGGGCAAATTTGGGATTTTTAAACCCAAACAAAATTTTAGTCTTACTACATTTGTTCTTTCAGCAGATCCGGATGCTAATAAACATTTAAACTGATGAAAAACAAATCTGACACACAATCAGAGGTGGGATAGACCCAAGAATACCCTCATGGGCCTCATCTAATGGAAAGCCTTCATAGCCAGAGTTAGTATCAACATTAGATAAATGGTTAAGATCAAAATTGGACGAAGTAGACATACCGACAGGGCCAGAAGTGCTCGAACCAGGGGCTGCCCCCCCCCCGGTGTGCTGCTCGTAACTCGCCTTATGAGGTCGTGCCGCCATGTGTCCATGTGGATGTTGGTGGGGCACTAGTATCAGCCTCTTTTGCCACGTGGAGCAAAATATCCCTCTGTTCTGACCATGCGGACCCAGTGGCAGTAGTAGTAGCAACAAATGCCTGATGATAAATAGGAGGCTCCAGTTATCATTTATATAGTATCTGTTGCTTTTGTTCAAGTAGTCGAGGTTGGAGAACATGAAAGCGGAAGTTTTGAGAAAAAATGTGAATTGATGGAGACAATGGATTGATAATCCAGTCCCAACCCAAATTGTGGTTTGTAACAATTCAAAATTGGAAACATGAGAATTTGTAGCAGCAAACGCATCCACCAAATTTTTAATGTCCCTCACATATTGCTCCACAGACTAATTATCTTTCTTTTTAATATGAGACAAAGTAGACATAAAGTGAGTTTGCCATCTCTCCCAAATAGCAAACTAGTTCTTAATATCATGAACATCCACTAAGACATCACGAGGAAGAGGGACAAACAATCAAGAACAAATTGTTTGATCCACTCTAAGCCAATGATAGTACACAGTGTTAGTGACTTATCTATTATTAAAATTCACATCATACATGGGAGATACCTAAATGGAGTCATTAGCCATACCAAGAAGTCATGGGGTAAGTAGGAAAAATCAAATTGAGTACACCACATGAGATAATTTCCCACAACTGTAAGTCTAGTGGTGACATTTTGAGTAATGTTGGTGGAGATATGAGATAATGACTGGACAAGGGATGCTAATGGAGAGCCGGATGATAGGGATTTGGAGGTCGGCCGCAAGACACCAGGAGAGTCGCTAAAGGTGGAGCCAAAAATGGAGTGCTGGGTAGGGCCGTCGTCTGCAGGACATGAGTGAACAGTGGCGGTCGTGCGGCGGACCAGGGCACCAGTACTATCTGCTGGTCGAACAGGGAGAATGATCCATGCAATGGAACATGTGAAGACGGGGGGCTGCTGCCGTGATGGGATGCGCCGCTAGAGCCGGCGGTTGCCTCGTCATGGTGGAGACGACGCCGTCTGGACTGGATAACAGCATCGAGATGGACACCGAAACAAAGGAGAGAGGCGGCGGCATAGCGGAAGATGAGAGGCCGGTAGTAGGGTTCTTTAAGGATCCGGAAAAAAATTAAAAACTTCTTTGTGTTCTTGGTACCATGTGAGAAAATGAAATATGTTGTCCTAACTAGGATAATAATGTCAGAATTACATAAACATCCCTAATATTATATTTATTACTTCCCTTTCTCTCTATATATATTCCAATCATGTTATTTACTACTATTACAATATACAACTATCGTAATATTATAATAAATATTTTCATTTAAGATATTATATGTCTATTAATTTAATTTTATATTTTTGGGTCACTCTTTTATCTATATTTGCTAAACATATCTACTTCATCCGGTTAGAGCATCCGCAATGCTGGATAGTCTAGTCTAAAAAAACATGCCAACTCACTAAATTAGACTTCCTACAACTATTTCCCTCTCCAGTCTCCATCGCAGATAGTCTTTTATGACTTGGCATAAAAACCAATAGACACCGTGAGGGTATACTGTGTGGGTATAGAAAGTCATAAACTTGCGACAAAATTAAAATAAAAGGATGATTAAAAATAGATGAAAACTTAAAAACACCGTTTGTGGTCTCTTTCTCCAAAGTATGTACCTACATAGCTCTCTTTTCCGGCAATAACTCAAGTACGCATATAAATTGTTGTTGGGAAACAGCCAGAGTAAACAAATGGAATATGAACAGAACAATTATCTGTTGGCCATAGAGCCATAGAGGAGCTGAGAAGCTATTTCAATAAAAAATAAACCTGGAAATTTACTCTTATTTTTGCAAGGAGAAATCTCTTATTTTAATATAATATAATACTCCATAAATTTGTAATAGGTACGTCACTTGGGCGGTTAAACCTTGTGCATTGGAGGCATCTTTCAAATTTTAATGTCCAATTACTCCACTAGGAATTACATGTTTTTTTGGAAGGAATTACATGATTTAGAGAGCCGACATTTGGCATTTTTCCCTTGGACCAGAAAGCAATGCATTGGGGATGCTCTTAGGAGTTCAGATTCAATAATTTTCTAGTAATAGTCTTTTATTTATATAATTGTTCTGAATTGGATAAATTCCACTTTTGGTCCTACGAGTTTTTAGGTCAATTCTACATTTAGTCCACATCTTTCACTTTGTCTGCTTTTGATACATGACTATTGGGTTTTCGCCCATATATGGTCCTTCCAGCATTGTTTCCGATGGTTAAAATCACAAGAAAATGACCAAAAACGGTTAAAAAACATCAGTAAAGTACCAAAAGTGAAAAAAGTGAAAGGCGTAGACTAAGTGGAATTTGCACAAAACTTGTAGGACCAAAAGTGGAATTATCTCTTCACAATTGAGAGACATCAATCTCCTATATCAACTCGTTATGTTAAACATAACTTTAAATCTAATCTAGTCGAACTACTGCAAAGGTGAGACACATCGGGATTTAGGGAGTGTTTGCAACAGCTTAAAAAAAGCACTTCTCAGCTTTTGGCTTAACAAAACACTTATTTACCAAACACTACCAATTTTTATTTTTTCTTGGCTTGCGTGTGAAAAGTGCTTTTCCTTTTTCTATTACACAAAAAACACTTATTTTATCAAACACTACCAACTTTTACGTTTCAAAATCACTTTTTTCTCAAACACTATCAACTTTTACTACTCATCACCTTTTCCTTTCATCTCCAAAAGTGTTTTTTTTAAGCAAAAGCGGTTCCAAACACTTCCTTAATACTTGTCAAACAGAACAAGTTGAAAACCCTAGAAACTGCAAAATAAAAAGGGGGAAAATGGAACCCGATCCGGGAGAGATCTGAAACATTCTCCGCATCCGAACTACTGAAGTCCTAAACAAAACAAACTCGAGCATTTCACTACCACCAGGAGCTTTCTCTCGTTACCAAAAGCCCATCAACTCGTCACCCTTACACTCCTACTGCCCGAAGAAAATCCTCTCCGAAAACCACAGAGCATATACCGTCCGCGTGCGAGGTCTTCCTAATCCGTCAACTATACGCCAGGCTGAGTCTCTAGGTTTGGCGTGTCCGTACTTTCATAGTAAGCAGTAAATATTTATTCTCAAAAAATCTTTTTGTTTCCCATTGCTTGATGTTTTCATTTTTTACAAATATACACCCTCCCTTCTTAAAGTTGCAATTTTGACTTTCCTTGGCAGCCAGAAATTATTAAAAATTTAATAGGAGGAATGGCCATTTTTAAGTTTTACTTGTATGTATATAGAATTTTCATGGACTCCCTCCTGCTCATATGTCTTAACTTTACTTTGATCATATCATTTATTACAGTATAAATGATTAAATGCAATATATAAGTTTTTTTTTGTCAATTTCTAAATGATTAAGTGCAAT